GTTAAGTCCGATAATAGTTGGATCGCATGACCAACCTCGCACTGCCATGATAAGGATCGACAATGGACTGAATTCCCATATCCGTCCTCCCACTGCCTCCCCACCCCCTCCTCGACATGACTGACCGCTGAACTCGCTTGCTTAGACGACTCTCCTCCCCCCTCGCCATGCGCACCCGCATATCAGACCAACGGTCCATGTTTTACTTCACCTACCATTTTCCATCTCTCTAGGCTGACCTGAGATTGAACAATTTATCTGGTCTTATAAACTCGCAATGGTCGCATGCAGTTGAATAAGAGATCACGAAATTTTATGATGTCATTAAATCCTGCATGTTTCGTAGTCTTTGTCCTGTTCAAACTGCAAACTGACAATCGTTGTTAACCTCAGACATAGATGGGGAACTCCGCGCACTCACCGCCAACCATTGACCAAATCTCTGTGGAATATCCCGTCAACAACGGCGGCGACCACTTGACCAAAAGTTATGAGGAGGTGGTAAAATACAAGGAGGGGACCGCGTATTTCAGAAGGACTGCACTCCGCAATGTAAACAGGCACGGTCATTGAGGCCAAACCTGTAATGTAAGGTAGACACAAAACTGACGATGGGAAATATCGAAAATTGAATACATCAAGTCTGTGGAAGTGGAAAGAAAGTTCGTACTATCGACCTTAGTATTGCAGAGGTTTTGTCACTGGGTGGCGTCATAGACAAGACCATGCAATTAATCACGCAGAGGAAGGCGGTAGCAGGAGCGGCAGAAATGTAACCGATTAAATCTAGGATCCGATCACAAGGTCTTTTAGCCATCATTAAGGATTTTGGTCTATTCGGCCAGCAGAATAGACTTGACTGAAGAGTGGTAAAGGGGCCCCACGAAGGTACTGCTTGCGAAATAAGCATAATTGCGTTCGACAAGTAGGTAGCCGCACATCAGCAGCAATACGACTTGGATATGAGGAGCGAAGTCTGGCAAGCCGACTGCCTGTAAGATGCTGCAATTTCCAATGGCGGCACTGTGACATGACAATCATAAACTGCAATCAAATAACTTGTAGAAGTCGCCTTACGGGTCGGCTTTTAACTCAAAGATAAACCAATCAAATGTTACAGAAGTTTGTGTCACGTGTATTATCGATAGTGGACACGCAATTGATGCTGCGATGCTGGTGAGCTTCTTTTTGGAATACAGCGGAAGCGAACTCTAAAATAAATTCCGAGAGGATTATGATCATCTCGGACTTCGTGATGTCCCGTTCATGATCGACGGTGACATTCTTGGGCCAGTAAAGAGCTTCTCTCGCCTTGGGTCCGGCATTTAGTCAAATAGACTAAACGAAAACTAAATGGACCATCGGACAAACAAGATGTTGGCGGCCTGCGTCCAACTTCGTCGAAACCTCCGAAATTAGCGCGTAGGCAGTTTGAAGACCAAAATTAGAATATATGGGGCGTCGTCAAGGTTTTCTTCCAGTATGAATGTGAGACATAGACCATATCTCTGATGACATTCATTGTCTGGAATATTTCGACCGATGGTGTCTGCGTTCCGTTCTCTAAAACCGTTTCCACGATCATGTCTCTAATGAACAAGGATACAAGCGTTCAGAAGCACAGCCAGTCAACTGTGTCATCCTTGATCGTCAATCTAAAGTACTCGTGTTTGCGCTGCATCAACCTAAAGGCAAAAGTGCTCGAGATTTTATCTCATGCGATCCTGGTGTAAAGGTGGCCGACTAAGGACGCGGACAGACCTGGTGTATCTCTGGCTCTGCAGTTTTCGGCCTCGCCGGCTGGCTTGGCAAACGGTTCGGTCACCCTAGAGTTTGTAACTCCGACTGTAATGCAGAGTGATCGTTTGTGTTGTCACTAACCTGTACTTTATGATAGACTAGCCGGACCCCGCCACGCGTTGCTGTGGCTCAATCTGATGAATTGGGAAATAAGGGAAAGAGGAAGGAGCACGTTCCCGATTAAGAAAAATGTAAGGGCCACCGGTTGGCGGTACGTATTGTGTGCGAAACCCAGGATTGTCTTTCTAGCTGCTGTTGAAGGCAGGGCAATTGCTTGCTGCACCCACTCGCGCTCGAGAATTCTGAAGTAAGTGGTGACGGCTGGCATTTATTTCGTCCACCGGTGTCGATCGAGGCAGTGGTGACCTGAAGTCTCCTGCAAGCAGTAGCAGTGCATCAGAAATGGTCTGCTGTTTCCTCGCAAACCCGGCAGTGCTCGATCAGGGGCCTCGAGCGCTTTTTTGCGCCATTGTGCATTCATCCCAAACAATACGTTTGCATTTCTGCAGTACTTTTCCCATGCCAGATGCTTTGGAAATGTTGCCCGCGAGAGCTTTAATAATTTGCGCGTTCGAGGGCAATTTCGAAGCTGGATGAACGGGTTTTCTGTCAGGTAGCAGAGTTGCAGCTATTCCGGGGATGCAAGTGCTAGGGCTATGTCATTTATTGGATCGAAATGCCCTCAGAATCGGTCGTAGTAGGAGCGTTTTGCCAGTCCTTCCCGGCGCATCTAGGAAGGAGATTCCTCCAACCCCGTTACTGACATTCCGCAGTATTTGATCGTAAATGTCATTCTGCTCCAGTCTTAGCTTGTGAATGTTTGATTGCAAGCATGGCAGAAGTTGAACCGTGTTTCATTTTGCTCATGGCGCCAATCCACATCAAACGAAGCAGCAGCAGATTGGTTTTGCGGCGACATTCCCAGTTGATTAAAAACTTTGTTCGCGATTTCTGCGTACATATCCTCAATCAATATTAACGCCTCGCTGTAGATTCCTGCTGTGCAAGCCACATTTGAATCTTCCTTGCATAGTTGATGGAAGGTACCTTCAGCCATGTGCAAATTCTATTTCTCCGGTAAATCTGCTGGAGATGAGGAGAGAATGCGATCAATATGACTGCAAACAATGCATGAATTTGATGTGGATGGGACATGTTGCAGGCGTCATTAATACATACGTCCCACTGTTGATCGTTCTCCAGTAACTGAAGAGCCTGACACGCACTGCTGAAAGTGGCATGCGTAGCGCCGTTGGCAGACTTCAATTGCTGGAAAGACGTTGGACGTGGCACATTCATAAAGACCATGCGAAGTAAGATTGGGATGCACGGTATGCAGTCTGCCTATCGCAGTTCCTTTGAGTATGCCGGGGTGTCCGTCCACTCGCTCTCCTCGTCTGCGTTTTTGCGGATGATTTTCTACGCACATTCCCTGTGTAATACCTAGGCACTTTCGAATGCGGCAGTGTTTTCGCAAACGCGTCACTTTGGCTTAACGTGCAGAACGCAGTTAGTGTTGTTGCCAGTGGACCTAAGGCAACCTGTTGCGCGTTTGCCCATTCTCTAACTGTACTGCAAGCGAACAACACCTGGACTTCGCTCATGGATGGGGAATAGAAGAATTCTCCACGTGGATTTCTTGCCGTTGACGCATCTGCCAGCCCAATACTGTGCGATTTCATTGTGTTGTATGTCCGCATCCCTTTATCTCCTTTCCTGTAGCAGGCCGAAAACGGCCATGTCGCTGCCTTTATGCACGTACTGACAAATGCACCTAATTCATTTCCCAAAATTGCAGTATTCCACGTTTATGTGAGCTGCGTTTTACTTTTAAAAGCAAAGGCGAATACGAAACAACCTAGCGGTTACCGACTTCTAAGTCACCGATTCGCATTCGTACGGTTGCAAATTTGCCGATGTCTTCCGGTGAGCATTTTCGGTATAAGGGACTTCCGTTTATCATG